GTTGTGCCTTACTACTTAAAACAGAGCCTTTCTGAGGTCACAGCAATGCGAGGTCTGTTTCTCGCGGGTCTCTTGGGTGCCACAACAAGGTGAGTGTGTCGGTTCAAGAAATGTCCATTAAAAATTAGGATATTTTTTTAAAGAATGAGAAAACCGTGCACGTCATCGCGCACAACATTTCAACTAAGTCCGCCAGTTTATTTTGTCACTGCAGCTTCCGCATACCAGGCAAACTCTTGCGGGAACTTGAACAGAGGGGAAAGACACGTACACTAGTGAATGAATTTATAGGATATTAATGTTTTATGGTAGGTAGTTCTTTTTATTGTTATGGGGGGTTTAATGTCCCAAAACCACCATTTGACTGTGAGAGACGCCGTAGTGGAGGGCTCCGGACATATTGACAACCTAGGGTTCTTTAACGTGCACCCAAATCCGAGCACACGGGCCTACAGCATTTGCGCTTCCATCGAAAATGCAGCCGCCGCAGCGGGAATTTGATCCCGTGACCTGCGGGTTAGCAGCCGAGTACCTTAGCCACTAGACCGCCGCGGCAGGGCAGGTAGTTTTTTTTTTTAAGGCGGAAAACGAATGTGGGGCTGTTTGAAGGCCGGTTGCGACGCCCTTTGAAACGTAGATTTGTGCGAACGTGAATGTTTGAAAGCAAGTTCGCGCGCTCATCAGTATATATACAACATAGGTTTAGTTCTTTATTCATATAGAATCTTTCGTCCCAGTTAGAAGTGGTCTCCTGTTGTGTTCTTGACGAAAGTTACGGTGATGTAAGGGGGGTGAAATGCAAACCACCACTTGAGCAATGCCTAAGTGTTTGAACATTTCTGGCGTGCAGGCTACTAGACTATCCTTTTGGAGTAGCGGCATCTTAACCACAGCTTCATTATGTTCGGCGTCGGAGCACTTTGAGCGTACGCATTTCGATAAAGAGAAAAGTAAGGTTCGCCCATGCAAAACATAAACAAGTAGAGGATGCATATGTACACGATGGTATAGTGTGTCAGATAGGAAATTCTGGTACGCGTTAGTAGAAGCTGGAAGGTCTTGCACTCAGTCTATAACTCTGGCGAAGAAGTGTCTCTTTAGAAGAACGTTTGTTTATGCGATCTGTATTTTTAGTGAGACCATCGGTTTTTCGAGGTTCCTCGCCTCCCCGTCTTGCGGTGATGGCCGCGGAGCATGCCAGAAGCCCGCCTGGTCAGATGTCCTGACACCCGTCAACTGCAAGAAAGCGAGCTGGCTCCTCCAGTCAGACTGAAGACACTGATCTGTATTCCATATCGGAACATGACATATCCGATGACAGCTTTATACCTGTCCGCGGTAAGAGGGCGAAGATAAGGACTGCGAATACATCAGCATCAGCTCCTGCAAGTACAGCGACTGTACAGTAAGGCCTGTGCGCTGGCCGCACGTCATCATCTTCATGCCGGAAGATCCTTCAAGAAACCTATGACTTCAAAACAGGCAAGCCCTTTCCGTTGCTCTGGAATGTGCGGTGCCAGATCAAATCAAGGACGTAAGAGTAAACCCAAGGAAAAATATTTTCGCCATATCCGTGCACTATGTCAGTGCGCTAGGACAGCTGCAGCAAATGACTGAGCTAGGTGGCATTAAAATGCGCCCCTTTATTCCGAAGGATGATAAATCAAATGCTGATGTAATTTGACATCGACATTGCCATTCCTAATGCTGACTTGCCTACCCTCATCAAGCCTGCAAACGAGGGCACTGTCATTACGCAAGTGTGGCGCTTCGGATTATACGCGCTGCGTAAAAGTGTTTTTCAAGGGAGATTGCATACCGCCCCACGTTAAAGTTGGACATTTCCGACATCCGGTTTTACCATTCATCCAGAAGCCACCTAAATGTCATCAGTGCTTCAGGCTTGGACACGTCAAGGACGTATGCCCCGACTCACGACTGTGTCCCCATTGCGCTGAACCTCACGCCGAAGACACCTGTAGGGCGTCTACTCTGAAGTGCGCCAACTACAGCGATCCTCACGCTGCGTCATCGGAAGGCTCGAATACAAAAGGAGCGGCGGTTCTTAAACAAATGGCCCGAGACCACTCGACACACAGGGAGGCAGCCGAAGTAGTCCGGCGTCGGCGTGGACGTCGGCATCATTGAAAGTCGTCAAAGACACATTACCAAAATGCTAGTTTTTTACTCTTTAGTGGTTGCACCCAGTAGCGCCACGAAAGGACCCACCAGTTCTACGAAAGAAGCGGAGAAGCCTTCTTCTCTGGAGGAACGACCCACACTCCCGACTCGCTCTTCTGCCAAGGAACCTCAGCAGGTCGCGGCCACACCAGAACCGTCTCCCGCCATGGAAAATTTTCCTAAAACAGGTCGTCATGTGATCTTGGTGCTGCGTATCCTCATAGAAGCCATCTGAGCGATATTAGTCGACATGAAGATAGCATCTGCTCGAAGCGCACTTGGAGTATTAGACGCCTTAAGCCCAGTGCTTGAATCTCTGAACTAGGAAGATGGCTACTCACATCTCATCATTTCGTAAAGAAGTCAAAGCTGCATCCGTCATCCAATGGAGCACCAGAGGACTAAAATCACGCCTTTCAGATTTTTTTCAGTTTGTGTTTACCCACGTGTTTCCACTCGTTGTCATTTGTGAACCCAATTTGCTGAATCCAATAAGACTTTCGGAGTACGAAGCTGTCATGTCTTCAACAAACGGTGCGTGCAGCAAAATCATCGTCTTTGTTCGTCGTGAACTGACGTATGTTGTGCAACCAATTGCGCCTCACGATGACAATCAGTATGTCTGCATCACTGTGAAAAAGAACAAACTCATGTTTACTCTCATAGGCGTTTATATATCTCCGCCGAATTATCTCAATTCCCGGAGAGTAGCGGATATTCTGAGAGTGTGTCCTGCACCATGGTTCATCATACGTGATTTAATTGCGCACCATCACGCATGAGGAAGTACGCGGACAAATGCAAGAGGGCGCAGGTTAGCAAACATTGCCTACAACTATGGCCTTACTCTCCTGAACGACGGTAGCCCCACTTTTCTTCGAGGGGAGACATGCGGCAGCTGTATTGACCTTGCTTTTGTCTCTAACTCCCTCGCGAGATAAGTCAAGTGGTTTGAAGATGTTAGACACGAGGAAGTGATCACATTCCAATCTACCTCAACATCAAAGGCTTGTCTAGTTGTGGTTCACGGACGACCATTCGAGCAGTCCAATGGACCATTTCAAATCTGACATAGAAGATGCTTGCAGCGATAGCCTACGATCTGGGTTAGAGCTAACAAGTAAGAGCACAATGCAAAACGCCACTCGCACAGTAAATGTATCTTCAGCACGAAAAGACTTTGACATAGACTTGGAGGGACTCTGAGCCCTTCGACGGCGGGTGGAGCGTCGGTATCTGCGCACAAAATCAATTCACGATCTTAGGGTAGCCAGGAGAATGCAAAAGAAGATTCGGCGTCACATGGATACATAAACGTCGGAACGATGTACAACGTTTTGCCAGTCACTAGACTCTCGCAAGCCACTCTCAAACATTTAGAAAACGGTGCAAAGTCTGCGTCACCCAACGGAACAGCGTTTTCCATTCAAAGTGCTCGCGCTTTTTCAAGGGCGGCAAGACATCGATGTCGCAGATTTCTGTGCGCAGATCGCCAGCCAAGCCACTCATCCAGATTCTCCAGTGAGAGGTGACGTCCCCCGTTCTCATGACTACCACATGAACCCCCCTTATACAATAGGGGAGCTTGAGGCGGCACTAGCTCTCTGCAGGCGTTTAACTTCTCTGGGTCCAGATGGTATTCCGTACCAAGCCGTGTGCAACCTTGGGAAAGATGCAAGGAGAGAACTATTGAGCCTTTACACCATCACGTGGCAGGATGGCAATGTTTCTGACGACTGGAAAGTAAGCCGCTTGGTAGCCAACTTGAAGCAGGGCAAATGCCCACTCGAACTCTCCTCATACTGCCCAATAGCACTGGCCAGCTGCGTAGGAAAGATAATAGAAAGGATGATACTAGGCCACCTGGAGTGGTATCTTGAGTACTACAAGATTTATCCGAATTCTCTGGCTGGTCTCCAACGCGACCACTCTTCCATTGACAATGTCGTTGATCTGGTTTCGTACGTTCAGCCTGAAAGATCCCATAGGCGACTATCTACTGCTTTGTTCCTAGATATGAAAGGCGCGTATGATAATGTACTACATCAAGCAATTTTGGGTGATCTTGTGGTGGCTGGCCTTGGCAGTCGAGTCTTTCGGTGGATTTCGAGTTACTTGGCTGCAAGGTCTTTCTTTGGGTTAACAGAAGATGGCCCAACTACGCGACGTTATACTTCCATGGGTGTTTCGCAAGGCGGAGTTCTTAACCCGACGCTATTCAATCTTACGCTAATTGGCCTTCCTGAATACTTGCCAAGTACCATTAAAATATCAATATACGCAGACGACATGTGTGTCTGGACTTCGGCAGTCACACGTCCTCAGATACGTTCCCGGCTTCAAAGATCAGCTATGATTGCCAACTACTTGTTAAAACAAGGTCTCAGCATATCACTAGAAAAATGCGCGCTGGTCGCCTTCACTCGCAAAGCGTTGACCCCTTATGTCATCTCAATCTGCGAGCGACCTATTTCTTACGCCAGAACCCACCGGATTCTGGGCATCATTATTAATAGGGACCTGTGATGGAGTGCATGTGGCCTATATGAAGAAGCGCCTGACCGCGATTACCCAATTGTTCAAGTTTCTGGCAGAAAAAGCGTGGGGGATGACAGTAGACGCAATGATGGAACTCTACAAAGCCCTGTTTCTCAGTTTCCTGAGACATAGCTTGCCCGTGCTGAGCAATACCTGCAAGACCTATGTTCGTGTTCTACAGGCAGTGCAAGCTCAAGCAGTGAGAGTGTGTCTTGGTCTACCGAGATGTACGTCAACAGAGGCAACAAATGCAATAACTCGTTACTATACGATACAAACTCATATTACTGTAGAAGTCCTGAGAATGCACATCAGACACCTTGAACTGTTGCCTTCAGTGAGGCGCCAAGCATCGTTCGCTATAATGATTGTGAAATACTATGAGAAAGTTCCCTTGGGCTTCACTCCTGCATCTAAATCAATACATCCTTGGTGTATTATTCGACGCACAGTGCATCTTAGTGTACCAGGGATCCGGAGGAAATCTGAGCTTTCTTCGCCCGTGCCGAAACAACTGTCTCTTCTTTTTTTGCACGAGAAATATTCAGACAGTGTACATATATATACCGATGGCTTCACGAACCGCCAGTGTTCGTCAGGTGCAGTAGTTGTCCCAGCAAGAGGTGTTACCATCAGCTTTAGGACTGACCACTCCACGGTATCTACAGCAGCGGAACTAGCATCATTGCACCCTGCCCTTTGTGTGGTCAATCGGGAACCACTAAAACAATGGTCGATTTTCAGTGACTCAAATGCTGCCCTACAATCTGTGCTCTCAGCACTGCGTCGCGGGCCGTACGAACAGCTTGTTTTTGAAATTCGCTGCCATCTCCACACTCCACACGAGAAAGGGCATCGTGACGTTTCAGTGGCTGCCAAGTCACTGCGGCGTCATAGGGAACGAACAAGCCGATAGTGCCGTGCAGGCAGCTCTTGAAGGAACACGAGAAGAAGCCATACCACTTTCGCGGACCGATGCTTCTAGTAATCTTTGATGACTTGCGCGTGAAGTCACGTTTTCAATATAGTGCTCACCAAGCAACGAAACGAAGCGTCAACGCCACCCTCTTTGATGGCTCTCCGCATGTCCACTGGGCTCGACCGAAGAGAAGCCACCCTTCTTCATCGCTTATGGCTAGGAGTGGCATTTACAAAATGTTATTCATTTGTCATAGGAATGGCCGACAACGCTCTCTGCGTTGCCTGTCGTTGCGAAGAGACGCTACACCACATCCTGTGTGACTGTCTGTTGTATGACATCCAGAGACAGTCACTGGCGTCCATTCTTGCACACATCGACAACAGCCAAATGTCTGTGGACACTATTCCTTCGATTGACCGAGAGAAGACATTGCAACAGAAGGCGACAAAAGCTTTGTTGAAATTCCTACGCGACACGGGCTTGAACAAACGGCTGTAACATCAATGTCACACACCGCGAAAGACAAGACTGGACAATGACTGAGTGTGCTCGCGGGTGCTGCCGAATGTGCTGTGTTTATCGCTCTTCCTTCGCTGCTCTCTATCCTTCATCTCCCCCATCCCCCTCCCATGCGCGCGGTAGCAAACCGGCTGCCTATAGACTGGTTAACCTCCCTGCCGTTCTTTTTCTCTATTGTCCTTCCTTTCTGCCGTTTATACACTTGCGGTTGCACAATAGTTTGCCAGTGATTCTACGGCACTTTGCAACGAGCAGCAAAAACGAAAACAAACGCGAAGTGGTGAAAATAGAACCGCAACCTCTGTATCAACCATTCAACCCCCTCCCCCCACTTTTTTCAACCAAGACATTCTTTATGTCGCAGTATTCGTTCTGATTATTACCAGAGGCAGGCAAAATGCTGAATGGGTAAATATTGTCCTTCTCTTTGCACATGCCGAGTCTAGTTGGTGCTACAGATGTACACATGGGCTGGGTGAAAAATGTAAAACAAGCTGCACCCTGCTATATAGAAACATTGCAAGCGCTTTAGTTCACATTAGGCGTTTTAGCGCCCCTCGTCGTTTCTTGCACAGTTTATCAATAATGTTTTAATTGTAATCAACTGGATGCCTGACACCTGAAAAAAGTACAAGAGACGAGCGTTTATTTACTTACAAAAAAACATCGGTCGTGGTTTTCCCTGTTGTAGCCAAAAGAGGAGTTTCTTGCCCCAACTCCTCCTTCCCACCCTAACGACGGAACTTTCCATTTTGCATTTGAATGGGTGCACATACTTATACACATACAGCGCGCACAAGCACATGATATTGTTGAGTATGGTAATGCACTAGCGTGTAGTATGGTTGATATTGCCCCCTCATTTACAATGAGAGGCCCCTTCTCTTGAGAAGGGTTTTTGGCTGTTCACATGTTGGTTTGGATTTGCCACGTCAAACATGTTTTAATATATTTGGTGCACTTTCACGTCTTTCTTGACATTCTTTCTTGCAGCACAGTTTCATCGGTAGTGAACTCTCACGCAGCGACATTTTACATCGATGTTATCGCGCCGTACTACAAGCTGTCCGAGGAGAAGGCGTTGATTGTGATGCGACTTCTGGGTATGTTATAGTCTTGTGTATACTGTTTTAAAAGGCGGCTGTTTGAATGAGCCAATCAGATAGCAAATAGCATAGCACTGCTATTTGCTATCTGTGTCCTCGTCTTACAAGTTTAGTCACGTAATAACGGTACCCTACAGTGCAAGCTTGCATACTTTGTAGTGTACACGTATCCCGCAGGTGTATAGCCACTAGCGTGGGTTCGGCCTTATATAGCGAGCCAAAGGGCCGCGTTCACCGTCGCCTCGAGTGAAATAACGCCGCAACACACGCGTGTTCGGACAGCCAAGACGTCGCGAGTTGCACGGCAAGTACACAGTACTGTTATCGAACAGTTCACAGCCTCCTATTGCTAGCGGCAACACCAAAACGCAGCGCAGCGCCCACTGCGAAGGCAGCAGGAAAGCAAAAGAGGCTTATCCACGCCACGGACGCAGGAACAACACAACGTTGCCGCGAACACATCTCACGTCTATCCTGCGCACAGTGACTTCCCTTTCTGACGCCCTAGCTACACAATATAAAAAAGGCTATGCTAGGGGCTTTTTGTTTAGGTTAATAGCCAAGTACAGTTTCCTGCATAATTTGATGGTTTCTTCTCCTAAAGTCCGAACTGTACCGGCTTCTTACTTTCATATACAGAAAATCATGCTACACTTGTAACGTTACGAAACGAATGCGTCGAGACGTTGCTTACTAAAAGACTGTCGCGAATTGAGAAAGCCCGTATTGTGAGTTAGGAGCCGACCGCAGAAATCCATGATTCTGCACGTTCTGTTTCACGATTTTTCACTCAAGTTAACTGCTTCCTTGCAGCCTTTGCCAGCGGTGCAATCATGACACTATTTGCAATCGCAGTGCCGGCACTAGGAACAGCGACTCGGGTTTGTTTTCCATTCTTCGCTTTTGCAATCTTGCGTATTTGTTCATGCGTGGCTCAACGCACTTTACCAAGCTCGTGTGTTTATTTCTTTTTGCCACAGCTGTTCCTCAACTTCTACGCATCTGCATCTGGTCCTTTCTCTGCACTTGTCATTCTAGCCGTAACGAGTCCATGGGTCAATTCAAAGGTTCGTAATGTTCATACATACATTATTTCAGTCGTCTAATGACGGGAAAAAACTGTGGTCTTTTTATTTTGTCGGAGCACTTCAGCTCGAGCACCTATTTCCAGTTATCCGAGAATTCAGAAATTGCGTTTTACAAAATCAGACACGCAAAAAATCAGTGGTTTTGTTTCAAGTTGAAAGGTGTGTTGACTTCATACGATCACGAGGCATTAAATTATTTAGGGCGAGGGCCAACCAAACTTGATGAAATGAAATAACGTTTAATTCAATTATTTTATGAAAGAGCTGGTGTTCCTCATGCTATCAGCTTGGATTGTTGCGGCACTTGGCGTAGCAGACGTGAATCGCGAACTTCCAGAAAGCAATTTGCCAATGACTTAGGTGTGAATCCTTAAATGTTCCAAGTGTATCTACTCAGTGTTTTCAGATCAGAAAAGTGACGATGTACGCTTAACTGAGTGACAAAGCTCCCCGTTGGTTTTAGAATCACGAATAATAAGGCAGCTGGCACTGCATAGCGCAGGAGTACATTGACGTTACGAGACTGAAAGAGAATGCTAGAGGCCTTTTCTGGCAATTCCGCAACGTTGATTTCTTCCTGACTTCGCCTTTCAGTTGTTTGCATTGAATTTAAATTGCTTAAGCGTATCAAGACTACGGTATTATGCAATGACTAGCAGTGATATGCGCCGTTTGAGAGTGTTGAACAGATTGAAAGTAAGAGTATACAATGTTTAGGCTCTATAATACATACAAACGCATCATATATATATATATATATATATATATATATATATATATATTGATACGGGGTATCACTACCAGGAAAAACAAGGGAAGCGCGGATAGAGAAGGAAGACGACGTTGCCTCCACTGCGATTCCCCTGAGTGGGTACGAGCCATGGCGGTGGAGATCATCATCATTATACTGTGATCGCGGACTCAGGGCCCATTAAAAACCCCCCATTAAGTTACCTTACCTTGTGTAACAATTTGGTGGAAGGTGCTGGGTAGGACGAACCCAAAGACGGGAGCTTCACTACCAGGACTTCGTCGCAGCCGCCGCCTCGCCACACTTCCACCTTCGCCGATCGTAATGGCCCAAGAGCAGCCATCCAACGCTTCGAGGCCAACTCCGATGGGTTCCGTGCCGTATTACAGAGTGCCACCAAACTTCAGCAGGACCTCAGGAGAAGACATCGACGTGTGGCTCAAGAACTACAAGCGGGTGAGCAGAAGCAGTGGCTGGGACTCGAACGAACAGCTCAATCATGTCGTATTCTCGTTAACTGACACCGCCCTCATGTGTTACGAGAACCACGAGGACATGTTTACGACTTGGGGACGTTTTGTTGAAGATGTTCAGAAGTGCTTCGGTGATTCGGACGCAAAGAAGAAACGCGCAGAGCAGACATTGTCTCAGAGGGCACAGCTTTCAGCAGAAACATGTACGACATACATTGAAAAAATATTGAATCTGTGCAAGATCGTGAATGGGAGGATGTCTGAAGAAGACAAGGTTGGACGCTTTTTTAAGGATATAGCCGAAAACGTGTACAATTAATAATTGGGAAAGACTGCTTGAACTCCGTGTCCGACGTGATGAAGCACTGTCGTACCTTCGAATCCCTCGAGATGCGATGAATTTCTCCGAAATTCGGCCGCCTGTCCAACGTCCCCACTGTGGCTGGTGTTGAAACAGTGCCGCCTAACGACCTTGCTTTGACCATACGGCACATTGTCAGAGAAGAGCTGCTTCGATGTCAGCAGACCTATCATCGCCCCAGCGATTTTCAGGATTTACAGGATGTATACGTAAGCGAACCAGAACGTGTGCGGACTCCTGCTTCTCTTCCACCATGGCAACCGCGCATCGATCAACGCAGCAGACGCTTATGCATATCAAGGCACACGGCAGGCTGGATTCCCCCGTCAACCACCTCCCAACTACGAACGAAATTTTCGCCCGCCTGTTTACCCAACATCGCCTGTCTACAGTGCCCCCGAAGGGCGGCACCACAATCCCATGCCTTCCGAGATGAGTCGTTACTCTGAGCAGCCACATACCCCTCGACCTATTCCGGTATGCTACAACTGTGGCGTCCCGGGTCACATTGCACGTGTTTGTGACCATCGCCCATATCAGCGACAGTCTTGGCACATGTCTCACTAACCTTTCGAGCATCCGCTCTCCACGTCACGGAAACCACGCGCACCTACCGGGTCACGCTACCCCTCGCCAGCCTCTGACCGAAGTTTGACGCTACCACGAGCTCCCCGTGCTCCACGATCGCCGTCGCCACGGCGACGGGCACGTACACCGTCGCCGGAAAACTAGTCGGTGCGGCCAGTGAGGGTGAGGCCGCGAGATCACAGGTGCTATCTACAGATATACCCCCGTCAGCGTTTATGTTGAAGAACAAAGTTCATGTAGTTGTCGATGAAGTGGCTACAATGGCACTTGTGGATACAGGCGCGACAGTCTCGGTTGTAGTGGAGCATACGCACCAACGCGTATGTGCCTTCTTAAGACAACGAAAAGCCCGTGCTCTGCTTGCGCGAGAGTTTGTGCCGCCTCTGCCAGACTTGCCGTACGCCCACTTTCCGTTGCGACTTCGCTGCGACTTCTCGGCTCGAATAAACGTCATCACATTTGGTAGAGGTGCTGAGATCCCCAAGAAGACCTCGAGCTCCGCTCTCGCAAGTTGCCTGAAAGACTACCACGAAACATCACTGACGCAGTCGCCAACCAGACCGTCCCAGCCCAGTCAGCCTATTCGTCGCAGCATAGGCTGGCTGCGACGCATATTCGACGCATAGGTCGAATAAACGTCATCACCTGGTGATGAGTGTAAATTTCAAAAACCTGCTAGGGCCAAAAGTGATGTTTTGCCTGAACCGTGGGGTGACATTTCGTGGTGTAAGTGGTGACGTGTTGTGTCCGGTGGGATATTGTACTGTGGACGTCTCACTGTGTGGCAAGGTGTTTTGCATAGAGTTTGCGGTTATTCCGCGGTCTACACATGACGTTATCTTGGGTATTGACTTCTTGTTTGAGTGTGGGGCAACTGTAGACTGCAGAAGTGGGCATCTTTCTATACACGGTACTTTCCCAACGGCGCTCTTGGAAAATTCCTGTCCGGAGGAATGCATCTTTTTTGTCTCCGTGGACACAGTCGTTCCTGCATTTTCTGCCGTGTGTGTTCCCGTGACATGTTCCAGCAACAACTGTGGCACGTTTGACGCCACGCTCGAACCAATTCCCTTGGCATGCCTGAAAAAGAACATTCTCATCCCCCATTGTATAGTGTCAGTCGTTGATTGATGGGCAGGTGTGTGGACAATGAACAGTTCCATGGAGCCTGCAATTCTGGCGAAACGAATCATGTACGACGCTGGTTGCGCTTGTTGATGCTACAAGCCAAAATGAACGTCTAGGCTTAGAAGGTTCAGAAGATGCCCAATTGCTACAAATGATCAGCAAGTCACTTGACCGAAGCGAACGTCAGACACTGCTCAACGTTCTATTTAAGCACTCGAAAGTGTTCGATTTTTCTAAATAGAGCCAAAGGCCCTTAATCCCAGCGTCCCGGATACGTCATCAGATCCACACCGAGTCGGCGCATCCCATTAGGCAGAAACCTCATCGAGTGGCACCATCGGAGCGCAAGATCATCAACGAGCGAGACAAAGAAATGCTGGAAAATGGAATAATACAGGAATCGGCAAGTCCGTGGGCTGCTCCCGTCATTCTAGTGAGGAAGAAGGATGGTACGTGGAGATTTTGCGTTGACTACCGCCGACTGAATTCTGTTACCAAGAAAGACGTCTATCCACTGCCGCGCATCGATGACGCTCTAGACTGCCTGCATTCCGCGTCCTACTTTTCATCTGTCGACCTGAGATCAGGTTACTGGCAAATTCCGATGCACGCAGCTGACAAAAAAAGACGGCATTCGTTACAACCGACGGAGTTTACGAGTTCAACATTATGCCATTCGGATTATGTAATGCTCCTGCGACATTCGAAAGTTTTATGGACTCTATATTGCGTGGTTTAAAATGGCAGATATGCATGTGTTACCTTGATGATGTAATTTTTGGACGTACGTTTAGGAGCACAACACTCGCCTACACCTAGTGCTCAGCTGCATTGAAAAAGCTGGCCTTGTATTGAATTAAAAAAAGTGCCACTTTGGCGAGCGACAGACATTGGTGTTAGGACATCTCGTCGACAAAGATGGCATTAGACCTGACCCACAAAAGACAGCGGCCGTTGAATCCTTCGAGCGTCCTAAATCTGTGAAACAACTGCGTAGCTTCATCGGGCTCTGCTCGTATTTCCGCCGGTTCGTACCCAAGTTTGCGGATGTCGTTCACCCCCTGACGAGCCTTCTACGCAAGAACATCCTGTTTCAGTGAACCTCCGAGTGTGATGCCGCTTTTCACAAGCTGAAGTGTTTGTTAACTTCGCAGCCAATACTTCGGCACTTCAATTTTTCGTCGCCCATGGAAATTCACACTGACGCAAGTGGCATCGGTATCGGTGCCATTCTCGTTCAGCGTTCTGGCAAGAAGGAACACGTTGTGGCGTACGCAAGTCGTTCTTTAAGCAAGCCTGAACGCAACTACACAGAGACCGAACAGGAATGCCTAGTGGTAGTCTTTGCAGTGCAACGGTTTTGCTCATACATCTATGGTCGCCCGTTCACTATCGTCACAGACCACCATTCCCTGTGTTGGCTGGTCAACCTTCGTGACCCATCCGGCCGCCTCGCACGATGGGCCATTCGCTTGCAAGAACATGTCTTCACCATCTCATACAAGACTGGCCGTCTACACGCTGATGCGGATTGCTTCTCCAGAATGCCGCTACCATCGACAGATTGTGAAGCCGATAACTTTGACCACCTTATCGCTTCTCTGTCGTCTGGTTTTCCCGATGTCGTGACCTGCGCCGCTGAGCAGCGTAATGACCCAAGCTTAAAAGCTCTCTTCCCTGGAGCGAGAAATTCATTAGGCGAAGGCCGATTCTGCGTCCGAAATGGTCTTCTTTACCAGAGAAACTTGTCCATGGCGGGCGCCCGCTTTCTGCTGGTTGTTCCTGCGTCCCTCCAAACGTCTGTTCTGCGTCTCACACATGATGACCCCACCTCTGGCCATATAGGCACCGCACGAACACTTTTCGCACGAAAGAGCGGTTCTATTGGCCGAAAATGAGCAAAACGATTGAGAACTACGTGGCCAGCTGTACGCAGTGTCAGAGCCACAAGCGGCCCTCCTCGGGTCCAGTTGGTCACCTGCAACCTGTAAAGCCCCCCGGTTCCCCTTTTGAAAAGGTCGGCATTGATCTGATGGAACCATTTCCACGCTCCTCAAAAGGTAACCAGTGGATAATTGTATGCGCCGACTACCTGACCCGGTACTGCGAGACGGCTGCCTTATGCTCCGCCAGGGCAGTCCAGGTTTCGGAGTTCCTGTTGCATTCAGTCATCCTCCGACATTGACCTCCTCGCGGGATAATAGGTGACCCTGGACGACAATTTACCGCTGATATTGTCGAATCATTATTTCGTTTGTGTGCCTCCAAGTTCCGAAACTCATCTGCGTATCATCCACAAACAAACGGCCTCACTGAGCACACAAACCGAACGTTGATCAACATGTTGTCAATGTACGTCGCCTCCGACCACAAAAACTGGGATGAAGTATTACCATTCGTCACGTACGCCTTCAACACGTCGAAACACGAACCGACAGGCTACAGCCCCTTCTATCTGCTCTACGCTCGCTCACCTCGACATACGCTGGACACTATCTTTCCTTTTGTCGTCCATGACAAATTTCGTCCATGACAATTGCGGAAACTTTCTGTCGTGCGGAAGGGACACGTCGACTTGCCTGCTTACGTACACTGGCAGCACAAGAGTCCTTCAAAACTCGCTACGACAGTCAACACAGGCATGTAACCTATGCCCCCGGTGATCTAGGGTGGGTGTGGACGCCAATACGCAGACGTGGCTTGAGCCAAAAGCTACTGGCACACTATGCTGGTCTTTTCGTGATACTCCGTCGTCTCAGCGAGGTCAACTATGAAATTGCACGTGTCACCACTAGTGGCCGACGTTCATGCAAGACAGAGGTGACGCATGTTGCCGCCTGAAGCCGTTTACTCGAAGGATGCAAGAATGACTCGCCCAGAGGGCTTCGTCTGAGACGGGAGGAAAGATATGGGGTATCACTACCAGGAAAAACAAGGGAAGCGCGGATAGAGAAGGAAGACCACGTTGCCTCCACTGTGAATTCCCTGAGTGGGTACGAGCCATGGCGGTGGAGATCATCATCATTATACTGTGATCGCGAACTCAGGGCCCATTAAACCCCCCCCCCCCCATTAAGTTACCTTACCTTGTGTAACAGTATATATATATATAGATATATATATATATATATATATATATATATATGAGAGAGAGAGAGTAGATAAATAGATAGATCTTGTCTATCGATGGGGCCCCTCTACCGAGAAGATGATGATTTGATTTGATTTGTAGGTTTTAACGTCCCAAAACCGCCAAACAATTTTGAAAAACGCCGTAGTAAAGGGCTCCAAAAATTTCGACCACCTGGGGTTCTTCAACGTGCACCCAAAGCTGAGTACACGGGCCTACAACATTTCCGCCTCCATCGGAAATGCAGCTGCCGCTGCCGGGATACCATCCCGCGACCTGCGGGTAAGCAGCCGAGTACCTAAGCCACTAGACCACCGCGGCAGGGCGCTACCGAGAGGTGTCTTGGCTCAAATCCTGTTGATAGAATAATTTTGCTTTGCCGTGTGTTAGGGTACACTTTGTGACGTCATTTTCGTGACAGAAATACGTCGCTGAAGTCTATCTCAACTCCGGCCTAAAACATTAGCGTGTTCAAAGGGTGAGTCAGGCCGGGTTAGGCTTCAAGTGAAGGGCCCCACGGTTTTACTTTTTTAGCGTAACTTGATTAAGCAGTTTTCACTTCCCTTCCGGGTACAATCTGGCCAGTCATGCGTCCCTCTGCTACAAAGTGTTTGCAGAAATTTTGGCTAGGAATGTTTTTGATTTCAGCCACATTTCATTGAGATGTGGTATAAATTTAGCAAACCGACGTGCTAAAAGCATCACGTTATAACGTCGCCAATGTTTCGCTCAGCAGCTATACATGTGAAATTACTGCCGGCTGTATCTTGCGGAGGTCCGTGGAGTGTTTCCTTCAAGGTAGTTATGGCGGATCGTATATTTTGTCGCACACTTTACTCATGAGTGAGAATCCTTCTTGGGGCCATGTAGTAGTGTTTGGTATCGGAAGGCTGACGGTTCGTTCGGTTTCTCATATGCCGAGCTAAAGCACTAAAATGATGCAAAATAAGTTTGTCTTAAGAGACACAAGATTATATAATTTAACGAATGAATAAATAAATTTGAATTTTAAGTTAAAACAACATTGCCCTTTGGATCATGTGGCACCTTTCGTTAATCTTTTCGCACTATTGTTGGCCTGATGCGATATTACTTGCAGTCTGTTTAGCTATTGCTCAAGCGAGAGATGCTCCATCTTTTGTCGGCGGCCTAGGTCGGCAAAATTTGAGGAGCTCACTCAGACTGCACGATAATTAAAACTTGAGCAATCTGGTGACTAACACGAGCTGGCCTGGAAGGGAACCAACACTAAGATGTGGTCAACTGTCTGTCACAAATATCGGATAGATTGATTGATATGTGGCATTTAACGTCCCAAAACCACCATATAATTATGAGACACACCGTAGTGGAGGGCTCCGGAAATTTTGACCAACTGGGTTTCCTTAACGTGCACCAAAATCTGAGCACATGGGCATACAGCATTTTCGCCTCCAATGGAAAAGCAGCCGCCGCAGCCGGGATTCGTTCCCGCGACCTGCGGGTCACCAGCCGAGTGCCTTAGCCACTAGACCACCGCGGCGGGGCTTGATATCGGACATAACCATCGGTGTCACGCACTTGATTCAACCACAGAGCACGAAAGATTTCTTCTTCCACTGCTTCACCTGACTGAACACTCAGATTCGGTAACTTGGTGAATGCTTATCTTCAATTGATCATTTCTGTTCTCGCATTCCAGGGCGCAGCTTGGGCAAGCTTGGTTGTTTGCGCATTCCAGCTCTGGCATGCGGTGGGGAGGAGCATGTCGAGTGTGGGCAAGCCACCCGTATTTCCTGGGACGCTCGACAGATGTCCCACGCCTCAAAACGTCACGGTTGAAGCAGCCAGGAATCTGTACAACACAGACACACAGAGGTATACAAGCATACATCGTGGATTAGTTATTCGAATGCCACGTTACCTTGCATATGCCCTTTAAGCATTACAATGGTCTGAGCAAATGCAGCGGGTACTAGTGTTTGTTGCTAGTGTCCCCAGAATTCCGTTATATGGGTATCTCTGGATGTTGTGAGAAAAAGCTTAGAATGTTTTCTTAACAACTAACGCAGCGGAACGTTGCGCTACACGTGCATTTGAGTAAAGGTCAATTCTTACTCTTCTATTTATCCGCTATAAGTGCAGACCAGTTCGAGCACCCAGGAAGTCGTATGTCCTCGTCGTCTCATGTAACTTGGCATAATGCTGCCGAAACAATTTATACCATAGCCATGTGCAGCATATTGAGCACGCGCTCACGTCAAGGAGTACTGTTATTCCTGTTATTCGAGCGACCTAATTATGATATCAGCTGTAGAATATTTTAGAACCACGGCTAACCCATGCCGTCATGGCCGGTGGTCGCTTTGGGTAATGTTGGTGAAACCATGTATAAAATTGAAAAAAAGTAGTAAGCAAGCGAAATATAAAAAAGAATGAAACAGGAAAAAAGAAAAAGAAAATAAATAAAAATGAAAAGGGATAAATGAGGTTGGTGGTCTATCCCTCTAGGTTTATTCCGAATTGTCACCATCAGTGCGCAGTTTTTTTTGTTTTTTTATTCTATGCTAATAATCACGAAGTTACATGCAGTTAAGAAAAGAATATAAATCAAGCAATCAACCAGCCATCTTTAAGTGCTCAGACGTGACTTACATTGGAGTGTTGGCAGAAGTGTGCGAAGGATGCAGCGTCCAGGACTATTCTTGTAGACGTCGCAAACAGTGAACATATTGCTCAGTGATGTCAAAATTCAATTGAATGTTATGTAGCCTTATTGTCACAAGGGCGTACACTAGCATCGGGTAAGTTTACAAGGATGACTGTGCAATTCATTTGTTTTTTTCACTGTGCTATTTACAGTGCTTACGTCTTTCCGCTGTATCGGCTGTCCTTCTTTTGGAGTTCCTTCTTCGGCGCCCTGCTCACGATAACGCTTGCCGTGGTGCTGAGTTTCGCAACAGGTACTTATCATCATCCATTAGTGGCCGGAATGCGTTTTGTTAAAAAAAAGGTTGCCAGTGGGAAAAAAGCATCACCGACTTCACTAAAATATATAGTAAGGCTATTTCGAGGGTACAACGTCTCAGTTTCTACCAGCCTCGCTGAATCGACAGCCCCGCACGGCATTGAGTCAAATATTATTCTTTGAACGTTTACCAAAACGTTGAGAAAGGATGAAAAAATATTAAACGCAGTGCTGTCCATCATCTGAATCCCATTAAACAAACGCTGAAAAATACAGCTACAATCGCACATTTCCCGCTTCAATGAAACGCTCTTTCGCCGGCATTGGTTGGGTGTCGCTTTCACAGAAGCGTCCCCGTTTCGCATTAGTATGGCGGGCACCTCAACATGAGGCGCCTGCGGAGCTCAGAAGACCGTCGAAAGCGTCCGGTGCAGCTGCGTTCGCTACAATGGCCTGCGGCGCCCGCTCCGGATGGTTATGAATGAACACGACTCCATGCAATTTTGTGTACAGAATATTAGGGTTGAAGCTCCTTAAGCCGTGGTTCGTGCTTCAGCGTTGAATGTAGTAGTAGTATTAGTAGTAGTAGTAGTAGTAGTAGTAGTAGTCGGGGGAGGAGAAGGAGGAGGAGGAGGAGGGGGAGGAGGAGGTAGCCACCTCGATGGCCGGACTAAAAAAGCGGCTCACGCGCACTCTTTTGAATTGAGGAAACCCGTGTGCATTACTCGTAAATAAAACTATAGTTGATTATGATGAAATAATTTACAGAGACGAGTATCGGTGACATAATCTTCAAAAAAACCTGCCTTGAAATTGCTGCTTATTAAAAAAAACTAGTAACAGAAGGACGCACTTTTAGCCCATCTGACCAGAAACGTTTGTTACGTAGAACTCCCTGGGCGTAACTTTCTTGGTTTTAGCAAGGTTTGGCGAGGGTTGGGCCTCAGTGCATCAACTAGTAACGGTGAAAGGTGGGAACTAGACACGAAGTGCAGGTCCTAAGAGAGTGCGCACGGGCTACTTCTCTAGTCCAGCCGTGCCACCTCGTTTAGTCGTTGGAATGTTGGCTAACCACCCCGTCCTTCCTCTTTCAATCCTCCTCCTCCTTCTTCTCCGCTTCATGGTGGCACTTCTAAATGAATATATGATGAAAAGATGTGAGATGACGGTATACTTGGAGTGTTCACTAGATGGGCGGACGAATGGACAGACGCAGCGACAGACTAATGGACAGACAGACAGATGCACGTGTATAGAGCTGCGCGGATGGACGCACGGACGGATGCATGGACAGACGTGCACGTGGACGGACGTACGCAGGGCGGTTTCATAGACGGATGCACGGATGGACGGCAGCGCGGACTGATGGAAGCATGGACGGACTGATGGACGCCTCGCCCAACTTGTAACTATGCACTCTGTGCATGTGCTGTGATTTTTTATGACCTTGGACATCTACTACGAGAGCGTGGAAAGCAGCTAAAGTAATAGTGAAATACCCGAAATTAACAAATGTGAGCGACCGTCAGTAGACTGGATGTGCTCCCCAAAGTGTGTTGTTATTCCTGCCCGTCTCTCTTCTCTTCTTCTGCCTCTCTTTTCTCCTCTTTTATCGCTACCCCAGATCAAGGCAGCAAGGCGGCCGTGCGTCTAATTAGCCTCTCTTCTTTCTTTGCATCTGTATGCAAACTGTAGCATATGCACACACATTCTTGTCAATGAACTGCAAAGTCAGTATACCGAACCAGCAGTGATGGCGTTCGTTCGGCGTTACCCAATTTAGTTTCCTAAATACGTAAAAAAAAAACAAATTTCAAGATAATTCTACATTGCCCTATCAACCCTGTGGCCCCTTTTGTCAAGGTTTTCGGACAATTGTTCGCTAGATGTGATATTATTACTTGCAGTCAGTTTCACGGTCGTTGTTCAAGCGAAAGGTGCTCTATCTTTTGTCGGTAGCATGCAGTCGACAAAATTTGAGGAGCTTATACAGAGTGCGTGAGAATTGAAACATGAGCAACTTGTTACAAAGTCATCTTGATTTTAGCAGCGCACTGACCGACGACGACTAAGAAAAGAAGGTGTACAAATCGGGCGCTCACAGATGAAAAATATTTCGAGCTTTTCACTGACTCAGACTCAGACTCCCGAAATTAAGCGAGTCCGAGTGAAGTCGACTCATGAGTCTGTTAACCTTGAGTTAGATTTTTTGACCATGTTGTCAATGCTCTCCAACGCCAATATCTCATGTAATAGGCGCTCATCTTGGCGCCGTTCGAAATGATATTGATACGTGTATGGAACTGTCGCACCGACACAGCTGAATTGGCACCCAAATGACGAAGACGACAACGAGGTTGTAGTGGGTTGGACTCTGAAGCTTCTCCCGTTGGCCTGCTTGACTGTGCGCTCTCTAAGCCGTTAGCAAGACCAGCTCTCGGTGAATAAATCTTTCCCGTAACATCTTTTGGTGGAAGGTGCTGGGTCTTCACACAACCCGGCTCTGGAACTCCGCAGTGGACGCCAGCTTTGTCCAGCCACAATGCCTGAAACTGGCACTCAGGCCTCGCCATCCGCGCCGGCTCCATCGCCTGTGATTCCCCCCCCCCCCCATCTTCTCGACCCTGGCACGTTTTCCGGGACGGACAGCACGGACGTCGAAGAATGGCTCGCATTATTCGAGCGCGTCAGCAAGCACTACAGGTGGGACGAAACGCTTATGCTGGCAAATATTCTATTCTACCTACGTGGTACGGCACGGGCCTGGTATGAGACGCATGAAGAACAATTAACCAGCTGGGACACATGCAAGCAAAAACTTCGCGATTTGTTCGGTCGGTCAGTTGCTCGTCAGATGGCAGCCAGGCAGGAACTCGCATCGCGTGTTCAATCATCGACGGAGTCGTACGTCACGTACATCCAAGACGTACTGGCACTGTGCCGGAAGACGGACAAAAACATGTCCGAGGCGGACAAGATCAGCAACGTGTTGAAAGGCATTACTGATGATGCTTTCAACATACTAATGTGCAAGAACTGCACCACTGTCGACTCCATCATATCTGAATGCCGGCGATTTGAGCAAGCTAAAAGCAGGCGAATCACCCACAAAATCGCGAGATTAGCAAACACTGCTGCGACTTCGTCTTGCGAGGATTCTGCAGCGCCCCGTTCACTCGCCCCTCCTGCCAATATCGCAAGGATTGTTCGCCAGGAGCTGGAAGCCATGGTACCCGCTTCCTATCAGCCCCCTGCGCAAGACAACTGGGCAACAGTCTCGCTTATTCAAGCCGTCGTACGTCAGGAGTTTGCTAACCTGGGCGTCCAGGTTCCCCAGCCCGCCAGACTTATGCCGCAGCCCATGAGCACTCCCGTCCACAACGCTGACCACCACTCTGCTCCACTTGTCGCTGCGGCAGCTTCGGCTCCTCGGTTTCCACCACGCTACCGAAATCCATCTGAGTGGCGCACGCATGATGATCGACCAATCTGCTTTTCTTGCTCTCGAGTTGGGCACATCTCCCGCCATTGCCGCAACAGGTCGTATTTCCGGCCAAGCTTTCGTAATGTAGATCGCCGTCAGGACCGCGGACACTATTCGCAACCCGGTTTTCCGGATGACCATACTCTGGACCCTTCAGCTCGCCGTTCATTTCCACGCTCCGAACCATCCTACGCTGACGCCGTCGCCCAGAGAAACTGGTCCAGCCGCTCGCCGTCACCTCAGGGTCGGCCGTCACGCTCCCCTCAACGCCGCCGCTCTCCGTCACCGGCCTATTCTGCCCATTCCCCGGGAAACTGACGAGTGCAGCTCCTGGAGGTGGCGCTGCGTTGACGACTCGGAACGAAAACCCTCAACCGGCTACAAATTCAAGACGCAATTTACTTCGGGTGTTCGTTGATGGCCACGCCGTTACTGCTCTAATTGACACTGGTGCCCAAGTATCTGTTATGAGTTCTACACTTCGATCTCGCCTGAAAAAGGTTCTCACACCAGCTATGTTCTCTACTGTTCGAGTTGCCAACGGAAGTCGAACATCGGTGCTTGGTATGTGCACTGCCCGCGTTACTGTTGCTGGCCACCACACTTCCGTTCTCTTCGCAGTCCTCGATGCTTGCCCACACGACGTCATCCTTGGAATTGACTTCTTAACCGCCCACTCCGCCCTCATCGATTGTTCTACCGGTATCTTACGGCTCGAATTACCTTTGTGCTCCGATTTCACTCCTCCAAGTCGCACTCGGCTACGATCCGTGGAGTCTCTACGGCTACCGCCCCAGGCTGCTATGTACATTCCTCTGTCGCCCTTCCCGTCCGTTCCTGATGGAGACTATCTGGTAGCTCCCCTCATTGATTTGACTCTTACGCACCACATCGCACTACCACATACTATAGTGGTTGTTTCTAACAACACGGTGCTACTTCCAGTTCTGAACTTCTCTACGTCGACCCAAGTGCTTCCCCAAGGCATCACTTTAGCCGATCTTTCCACCCTTGATGAATGTTCGATTTGTTCTTTCACACCTGACACTAAGACCATGACGAAACCTGTCATCACGTCGCAAAATAAGGCGTTCCTCGACAAAATGATATCCAGTGACCTCTTACCTTCCCAAGTTGCGGCGCTCCGGGGTGTTCTATTTTCTTACCTGGATATCTTTGACGTTGACGACCGTCCCCTGGGCCGCACAAGTGCCGTAACCCACCGCATCGACACCGGCGACGCCAGTCCCCTTCACAAACGCCCTTATCGCGTGTCACGTGCTGAGCGCCAAGTAATACAGACGGAGGTCGAGAAAATGCTCAGTAAAGACGTCATTGAGCCGTCATCGAGTCCTTGGGCCTCCCCTGTGGTCTTAGTTAAAAAGAAGGACAACACTTGGCGTTTTTGCGTCGACTATCGCCACCTGAATCGGATCACCAAGAAGGACGTTTATCCTTTACCTCGAATCGATGATGCGCTCGACTGCCTCTACGGCGCCAACTATTTCTCGTCCCTTGACCTTCGATCCGGATACTGGCAAATTTCGGTCGACGACCGTGACCGCGAGAAGACGGCATTCATCACACCCGACGGCCTTTACCAATTCAAGGTCATGCCTTTTGGTTTGTGCAATGCCCCGGCTACTTTTGAACGTATGATGGACTCTCTTCTTCGCGGTTTCAAATGGTCGACCTGCCTCTGCTATGTGGATGATGTAATAGTTTTCTCGCCCTCCTTCGAAAGCCACCTGTCTCGCCTCTCGGCAATTCTTGACGTTTTTCGTTGCGCTGGTCTCCAACTCAATTCGTCGAAATGCTCATTTGGACGTCGGCAGATTAAACTACTCGGCCACCTTGTTGACGCCACTGGTGTTCAACCCGACCCTGACAAAGTCCGTGCAGTCCGAGAATTCCCGGTACCGCGTTCCACACAAGAAGTTCGCAGTTTTATTGGGCTCTGCTCATACTTCCGCCGCTTTGTCTTCAATTTCGCGGATATTGCTAGGCCCCTCACGGATCTCCTCAAAAAGAATGTGGCATTTTCTTGGGGAAGAGACCAAGAACATTCCTTCGCGTCGCTAATTACCGCCCTCACATCACCACCTGTGTTAGCTCATTTTGATCCAGCGGCTCGAACAGAGCTTCGCACCGATGCAAGCGGCCATGGCATTGGTGCTATACTCGCTCAGATACAGAATGGCATCAACCGTGTGATAGCCTACGCTAGCCGTCTTTTGTCGCAAGCGGAACAAAATTATTCCATCACTGAGCGGGAATGCTTAGCCCTCGTTTGGGCTATTGCGAAATTCCGTCCGTACTTATACGGACGTCCGTTCGCAGTCATCACGGACCATCATGCGCTTTGCTGGCTATCGACGCTTAAGGACCCTACAGGAAGACTCAGCCGATGGGCACTTCGATTACAGGAGTACACGTTCTCGGTTGTTTACAAATCTGGAAAGCTGCACAGCGATGCTGACTGCTTATCCCGGCACCCTGTCGATCCACCTAGCTCCACTGATTTGGAATCCGATGCCTGCGTTTTAGCCACCACTGACTTTCTGAACGTGGCTGACGAACAGCGCCAAGATCCATCGCTGCTCACCATCATTGACCGCCTTCAATCGCGTTATGCTGACCCTTCTCTTAGCAGATACCTGCTTCAAGACAACGTTTTGTACCGCCGCAACTTACACCCCGACGGCGCCGAACTTTTACTCGTCGTACCGCATCACCTGCGAAAGGATGTTCTGCGACAATTCCACGACGCTCCAACTTCTGGACATCTAGGAGTCTCCAGATCTTACGACCGCATTCGACGACGAGTATTCTGGAAGGGTCTGTACCGCTCTGTTCGCCGTTACGTCACATCTTGTGACCTCTGCCAGCGCCGAAAGAAGCCTACGACTCCCCCTGCCGGTCTACTTTCCAGCCGAGCCATTTTATCGAGTGGGGTTGGACTTGCTAGGCCCTTTTCCTACTTCTACAACTGGAAATAAATGGATTGCAGTGGCCACAGACTATGCCACTCGGTATGCAATCACTCGAGCGCTACCAACCAGCTGCGCAACCGACGTTGCCGACTTCCTGCTGTACGACATTATTCTCCAGCACGGCGCTCCGACTCACCTGCTCACAGACCGTGGTCGCTACTTTCTATCTCGTGTGGTTGATGATCTACTCCGATCTTGTGCTACCCGTCACAACTTCACCACATCTTACCACCCTCAGACTAACGGCCTTACGGAGCGACTAAACCGCACATTGACGGACATGCTTTCCATGTACGTATCTACCGACCACACTGATTGGGACATAGCTCTTCCGTTCGTAACCTTCGCCTATAACTCGTCGCGTCATGAAACAGCGGGCTACTCCCCTTTTTATCTACTCTACGGACGTCATCCCTTACTGCCCTTCGACACACTGCTTTCATCAGACCACCCATCCTCCACCTCGTACGCTCAGGATGCAATCACCCGTGCCCTCACGGCACGTGCGGTAGCGCGTGCTCGGTTATCGTCGTCGCAGACAGCACAGAAGTCTCTTTATGACCGTCGACATAGAGATGCCGTTTTTTCTTCGGGATCTCTTGTTCTCCTGTGGCTCCCATCTCGACGTGTTGGCCTCTGCGAGAAACTCCTATCGCGATACGCTGGGCCCTACCGAGTCATTCGTCAGGTCACACCTGTGACCTACGAGATTGTCGCTACCACAAACTCATCAGCTGCTGCTCTCAGAACGGAAGTGGTCCACGTTTCTCGTCTCAAGCCCTACAACGCCGACTCGTTCATTTAACATGCACCGAGACGGTGCCTTACGGGCCGGGGTGATGATACGTGTATGGAACTGTCGCACCGACACAGCTGAATTGGCACCCAAATGACGAAGACGACAACGAGGTTGTAGTGGGTTGGACTCTGAAGCTTCTCCCGTTGGCCTGCTTGACTGTGCGCTCTCTAAGCCGTTAGCAAGACCAGCTCTCGGTGAATAAATCTTTCCCGTAACAATATCTTCGAAAAAGAGTTCCGAGTGCTTGTAAAACAGTAAGGTAATTTTTCTTGGGCGAGATGAGAGGGCAACATTGATTTATCGATAACTTTTCGAAAGAGTTGGTGAAGGAGAGGTCAGGGCCTCCCCTCACGTATTTCACTCCTCTAGTTAATAGATATTAAAATGGTGTTATAATGGCACCGCTTTGGAATAGCTTTCAGCAGTAGTGAGCATATACATGAATTCAGGTAAGGCTGAGAGTGATGCTGAAGATGATTAGATAAGAGTCGGTGGCATGGAGTGTACGAATTAGTGGATTTACTTCAGCGAGGGAAAGAAAGTCGAAAGAATGCTTAAAAAGTTGGCTTTCGTCAGTCTCGAAGGCATGTTACGAGCGCTTACAACGCGTTACTGTTCCGTAGAAAAGAATTTTCGGCTTTTGCAAAACAACACTTTTAGACGCGTTATATTTCGACCGATAGCGGGGCGTTTTGAATATGCCGCTTTGTTGATACAACCATTCAGGCAAAACCATGACATGCACAGAATGTCTAGTCATTGCGAGTTTTAAGTCGTCAGCATGAAGTAACACGTTATCGGTTCATCCTAAATTTACTGTTAACGCCTCTTCTTATCCTGCTCAATAAACTCACCCAATCGTTTGGCGTCTTGGGTCGTTTATTCTCGTTATGTGTTATGAATGATTCAATTTTATTAACGGCGTTGTGCATCGCCCAACATAATTTACGCAATCGCCTTGAAATCACTTGTAATGAATTTATGCAATCATTTTTCTCTGCTAATCTATTTGTAATATTTGATTGATGGTAAACAGTGACCTGTGCTGTGCGCCTACTCCCCCACTGAAGTTTCCTGCACTGATTGACCTAGATTTCCTTCAGTGGAATCGTTGCTATAGTTAAAACTGGTAAATACTTTAGTTGAACAGTAACTCGGTTATTTCTCTCATTTTCAAGGTGGTATACAAAAGTCTCAAAAGAAGGTACGCTTCGTCAGCCCCTTATTTACGGAATTCTGGAAAAAACTTAAACTCGTCGGCGAAGAATATGAGGTGGGTACATACCTTATGACCGTTCAATTTTCTTTTCTGAATTAAGTTTATGCTGATAGCCACTTGATTTGAAGCACTACTTCGTCCATGAAGATGTGATATTCATGTCAAACTGGTATTTCCGAATAATAGAAATAACTTGTTCTTGTTAGTTGCATAGATATGCTTCTTCCGGCTACATCTTGCTGCACCTGATAGGAGCTCCTTGAATATGGTACTAAGTAACGCGGCCGACTAGTAATGCACTGTACATTTATTCACAATAACAATAAGTACACTTACTTGATGTGTCAGCTACGACTCACGATGAACGGATATAAATGCGGCAAAGTAATTTGTGGACGATCTTTTTACCACTTGACGTTTTAACGTTATGAACAGATTTGTGTTTGCTACTCGAGCTGAGCCACTACGATGAACCTTTTGATGGTGATGGTCGTGTGTTCACAAATGTATTCTTTTTTCAAAGATCTGTACTGACCATGCCGCAATGATGTGACGGCTCTAACCAGAAATTTATTTGGGGGGTAAGGAAATGGTGACGGGGTTCGACTCCTCTTTGAGTATGGTCATGCATGAGCTTGTTTATTTGTATCTACTATATCTATGCGAAATGTAAATAGTCTGCTGTCTGGTGTCACTTAACCCTCCCCTCCTCCACACAAACACAAGCTACTTCCTCGCTATGCTCACGGTCGGGAAAGGGTATAAGTAGATTACTACAAAGCACAGCATTTCAGTACCCTTCTGAGCCACTCAAGGTGCATACGTATTTTAGGAATGTCAAGACGTGAAATTGATTATCTAAACTGGTTCTACCTATATTCGGTCTCACTTGTAGGGCATACTCTATTTGATAATACGACTTTTTATACGTTTTTTATACGCGGCCGTTACTTCGAAACTTGCAGGCCAATCTCACCATGATTTCACTGATATGTACAGGGTCGTACAAATATTTCCGGCCATTCTGCGCCATATGTTTCTATCGTTGTGGAAACTAGAGTATTTTGAATACCATGTACATTCCACTGCATGTCACAATGAAGTTATGCGTTCTTGCATGCTTCTTACTGGCGTATAGATATCTCGAAATTTCAGAGGTTAACAAAACTTAAATGTTACGACGCCGCGAGCCTCCAAATGTAACTCGTAGCTGTGCGCTCAAGATGTATGTTTATCAAAAAATGTATGCTAGTATTGCCATTTTTTTCTTTGCTATGACCTCATATGTCTAATGATACGCGAACAATGAGTCAAGGGTTTCGGCATCAACACGCGGTCACGATGCAGAAGTTTATCATCCTCGGATGATGTCAGCACGTCCCCTAGAATGATGTCAAATGACGACATCATGAAACAAATTTGTCGCGTTGTCAACGGTGGGCGGTGCTGGAGGTAGTGAACAACTCTATGAGGCGTGGAAACCTTATCATGCCTCCCATCATTAAAGGCAGCGCAGAGCGACGTTAAATGACTGTTCTAACAAGTTGCTGCTTGTTTTGCACTTGTATAAGCATATTATTACCGCCTCCTATTCTTCCGCCAAGTATATTCAATTCATTTTTGTTATAGTTTTTAACTGAGGGTCCCATTTTCAGTGTTTATACTCTGAGACCCTCATTGGTGTAGAAGTGTTTTGTAATATATGCTTATGCAACTAATAAACTGAAATAGAGGTGAATTAGCCTTGGGGCGGAGGAGGGGAAAGGAAAGAGACCATCAGTAAATCAACTTTGAAGAAAACAGGGTGCTGTTCAGTTTCGGATCATCTCCGGCAAATTCATAAAAAATTGTGGCACTTGTAATTTGCATTTCGCCATAATTGACGCTAAAAAATTACATGGAAACTATAAACGAGGAGTTATAGGTTTGTAGCGCTTATTGGATGTCACTCGTTGACAAAGTAACAGTACAACGCTAGCCTTATTATTTGGTACTTTCGCAGGTGAATGCCCCAATGACGCTGAACGGGGTGGTCAGCTCGGGCAACAAGTCTGACGAAGACGAGCGGACGAAGCTGGGCACGGAGATGTCTCCAGTGTGCAAAGAGCGCACAGGCAGTGAAGTCACCATCGTAAACGCCTCAGAGTGGCGAACGTAACCGAAGAGGCATTCGATCATTGCGCTGTGATCGGGTTTCATAGCTGTGATTCTATCGAAGTCAACTCGCTTCTGCACTGACGAAGTCGTTTTCATCTGGAAAAGTCGCCGCGCTCCTCAAGATCATAGCCGTTTCTGGAATCTCGAAACACGTGTGCGGACTCAACAGGTGCGCAAGTGCAAACAGGCGTTGACCAAGCAGCACAGCGGCATCTGCTTGATGCTATTACCTTCCAAAGTTCTGAACTTGCCCATAGTAGCCTGTGGTTTTGGTGCTTGATTGTTGACCCGAAGTTTGTAAGATTGAATTCCGGCCACCTCGAACGCACTTTGGGTAGTCGGATAATTCAGGAAGCCGATGTTGCTCAATTAAGGTGCTCGTAGAAGAGCTTCCGTTTGCCTAATTTTCAAGCCCTCCACTGCAGCATCTCTTATAATCATATATTGTGGTTTCGGGTCGTAAAACTCTAATAACTATGAACTGTTATCCCGATATTGGGGAAGTCCACAATGTGCATATTCATGGAATTGTACACTTAGACTGATTCGCGAGAACTTCAGCTAGGACAAAAATGCAAAGTGTGTGGCCGCCTAGATAGAATGACATCTCATAATCACAAGTAAGAGATACAGAAACTATAAGACAGGTGTCCTTTTTTTACATGTTACTCCATTTTTTGTGTGAGAAAAAAATGAAGTTTGCTTTTGCAATTCGGAGTATTCAATCTTGAGTGCTATCTATAAACCACCTGCTTGCTTTCTCGCAGTTCGATTATTTTTATGCTGAGAGATGATACCTCATGGTATTCAGGACTGCCGTACGTGCTTCGGTAGTCGAGTGGTTGAATTTCCGCACCTTTCTGACGCTTAGCAACTCATTTGTGCACTGTTCAAACTAATCAGCTATATCAGTGTTGACAGCGCTGGAGCAGTAACCGAGAGGAAAGAAACGATTCAAGGCAACTGTATGCAGAAGTTACACAGGCCTCACAATTTTTGACGAGCTCAGGTGAAACGGCTTATGCCAAACGAGAGCATTAACTGCTGCTGCTGACTCGTCAGGTAATAGCTCTGTCAAGCAGGCTGTCGATTGAATTATCGTTTATGGTGGGTGCACACTGCTAGGCCACTAGTTTTGATACTGGTCTACTTCTAAAGTACGATGTACTTAAAAAGAAGCCCATTAGGCCTACATTAGTAGTGATTCTCACCTTGTAAATACCTTGCGCCTAACAATCCCACCATGGTATCGACGTTTATTTGTTATATTACTATTTAGAAAGGGAAAGTATGACGTTTACAAACTATAATAAACATTTCCAACTGGAAATAGCCGGAAAAACTTGCTCTGGGATGTAATGCACAGAGACAGAACGATATGGGGTCGCGGTTTCAGTTTTTAGCACACAGAACTGTCAGAAGACTCATTGACTCTTCACTAAGTAGTGAACTGTGAATTCTAGGAATTGTCAGTATGGACAACGGGCCAACTCAGCAAGTGCACCGATAGCATAAAAAAGGTGTACAGGCTATTCCACTGATTCTATAACGGAAGTGCTCAGCAATCCAGCAATCACGTTACTCACTTAGAATCAATAAACGTGCCGTTAAATCTAAGTTCACTTAGAAAATGCACCATCTTCCATTCAATGAGACGCCGTGCTACCGCAGGAGAACTTCATATTGAATAAAGCGTCACGTAGCACTTCAACTTATTACTAACTGGCAGCTGACTAATAGTCCCTTGTATACAACCTAAAGGCACCAAGTCTGCCAGTACGAGACCCTCGTAATGAATAAGGGAAAGACGTGTGTACTTAAGGGCTCGTTTTCTCCGTGTCTTGACAGAATAAGAATAAGATCTATCAGTCAATAATGCCAGGGAAAGTACAGGGTAAGCTATTAGACCGAATTGTGAAGTAAATGTTAAAAAATGTTAAGAAAGAAAAGTGGGTGAAAAGATATCTTGTTGTGGGCAGGAACCGAACCTGCATATATATATATATATATATATATATATATATATATATATATATATATATATATATATATATATATATATACTTTTAGAATTCAAGGCACACATTATGCCTGCTTTAAACATCTTATCTGTTAAAAGATTTAGTGTGCTGTCACCAATCGAAAGGTTTTTTTTTTACTTTTACCTGCAATATTGCTTCTTATCTCAGCATATTTAATCGTCACCATTACTCCTGCATTCACGGTGGAGTTACGATCAGTTAGTCTGAAACTAAGCTAACGCGAAGCGTACATCACGTGACAATTCATTATGCTTCATCATGCATGGCCTGTTTCTCCACCACAAAAAAAAAAAGATCGCTCTTTTGTCATTTGATTTGACAGTTTCGTGTTGCACGAAACTGTCAATCTTCCTAAAAGCAAAAGGCCATCCACCTTCTACTCCCCTCTATATGCTTCACGCCATGGCAGACGTGGTCGTGTGACTGCTCGAGTGTAATTGAATGGCAGAGTTGTCAGTGCATGATATATCGGCAGAGGAAAGCATTGCCTTGACTGAAAATAATACGTGGAATGTATAGAAGATACTTCACGTACCTTTTCTTAGGTAGTCTCAGAATCTTGCGGGCAGGCCAGCCAGCGCCAAATGATTCGGTACGCCTGCGGGAAAAAAAGAGCGCTCAACAGCCACCATCAAGCCCACAAGTGGCGCTGGGTAACCCCGCCACAGTCGCTCAAACAGTAATAGCCACTAAAGTAGATGCGAAAGTCGCCGCTGCCGTAGCTCTATTGGTAGATCAAAGAAGGTGGTATTCGAGTGTTATAAATTTGGTCCCTAACCTGGCGGGAAATTCTCCGACCGTGCTGTGTAGGCTCTAGCTGACTATCCATGCTTCTTTTCTTTACTCCTCTTCTTTTCTATCTCTTTCCTTTCTATTATTCTCCTTTTCCCCCACCCCAAGTGTAGGATAGCAACCGAGCCAAGCTTGGTTAACCTCCCTGCCTTTCCTCTCTATTTATCTCTCTCTCTCTCTCCTCCTCACAGCGTTTTGATTTCTTTCTATTCACGTCAGAATTTTGAAATAATAATAAATATTGTTGGGGTTTAACATCCCAAAAATACCCTCTGATTACGAGAGACGTCGTAGTAGACGGCTCCAGAAATTTTGTACACCTGGGGTTCTTTAGCATGTACCTAAATTTAAGCACGTGGCCCTCCGGCATTTTCGCCTCCACCGAAAATGTGACCACCGCGGCCGCGACTTGATCCCGCGACCTGCGTGTCACTAGACAACAGTTACAGACTACAAGTGTGCCCCATGACTGCCTCGGCTTCATTACCCGCGAGTTAAATTATGTATTCTACTAATATCAGAGTTCCTCTTTCCATGCAACATCTGAAATGCCTCACTTCAATACCACTTAAGAATTAGCACGAGTTTCTCATCTTTTGAGAGTGATTAAAACGGGTGCCCAAGTGAAGAAATGCCCAAGTGATGGGACAAGTCTTCGCTGTCTGTTGCACTCATTGACAAAGCGTCGTTCTGTGTGGCGTTTGGGGAAACCGCTGTGGAAGAACAGTTCTGGGAACTGAGCCTTGATTACATACGAGCTATTTAGGTAAGATTTCCGATTCTGAAGACATAGGATCTCCCCGCAACAAAAGTGAACCGTGTGAAGTTGGTAGGTTACCATTGCACGGGCACACGAGCACAGCCACTCTTCAACGTAGAGAGATATATAGGGAAAGAAAGAGGGGAGGTTAGCCAGTATTACAACACCAACCATGCTACCTTGCACCAATGTTGGTCAGACATGAAGATGGAAGGAAGAGTGGACATAAAAACATGCACACGATGAAAAATAAAGCGTGTGGAGTGGGAGTATTGTAGATTATATGACTGTCGAAACTTTTAGGTAGACTGAACAATCGCCAATTGTCGGAAGAAAGGGTATTAGGACACTGATCGAGACCATTTTCGGCGTGCAAGCCATTGAGAGCATTGTTGCGCTTCTTGCGGGCAAGTGGTCTTAGAGACAGTCTGTAAGCAGCGTCGTGGCTAGTCTGTTGTCCTTCTTTTTTCATCTCCTTCAACGTCTCTTTTCTTCCATCTTTTGTCCCCTTACCACCTTCCCCAGCACAGGGTAGCCAGCCGGTCTGAGAAGTGGCTAACGTTCCTGTCCTTCCTTCCTCCTTCAATCCTGCTTCTCCTCAGACACTCGAAATAGGTCCACTAAGGCAATCTGAATCTGATGATAACTGATTCAACAAGGGCCTGGCATAATCTTCGCGATTTATGCTGGGGCTGGCCGCAGGCAGCGCTTGTGTTCTGAGCACGCCATCTATTTCATTAGTCTCTTTGAAAGTGCACAATAAAAATGGGTTATTTGCTTGCTAACTATATATATATACATATATATATATATATATTGTAGTGGGGAATTCGCAAAGCACTGACTAGTGGGACCATCTCTCTCGGAGTGCGAAGCGCGAGTGTGTGCACGAGCTGTAGACGCTGGACAGCTCGAGAATTTCTGTCCGTACCGGCTGCCTGCCTACTGCCTGGCGTCGCTATTAAACTCCCTTACAAAGTGGTGGAAGTGTGCTGGGTACGCAAACCTGGAGCTTCGAAGCCGGAAGCTGCCCACTGCATCAGCAATGCCTGATCAGACGACCGAGCAAGGCACCCCTCTGCAGAGCACGGCCCAATCTCAACTGGTCATCGTACCTACCACCCTGCGTCAACGGGATCCCCCCTTCTTCAGCGGCACCGAGGACCAAGATGTGGAAGACTGGTTGCAGCTGTTTGAAAAGGTGAGCGCCGCCAACAAGTGGGACGACCCCTCGAAATCGGAGTACGTCCCATTTTATTTCAAAGACGTCGCCAGCCTGTGGTTCACAAACCACCGTACGGAATTCACCACTTGGGCCGCGTTCAAGACCACCCTTGCAGCTGTGTTCGATCGCCCCGCAGTGCGGAAGCTGCGTGCTGAACAGCGCCTACGCGGACGAGCGCAAAGGCAGGGCGAAAACTTCACTAGCTACATTGAAGATGTTATCGATTTATGCCGGCGCTTTAACCCTGAGATGACCGAGCAAGAAAAGATCAGGCATATCTTGAAAGGAATAGACGATGATGCCTTTCAAATGTTGCTGGCAAAGGGCCCAAGTACCGTATCCGAACTTGTAACCTTATGCCAGAACTTGGAAGAGATTCGCAAGCAACGTGCATTACTGTCAACTACAGCAGGCGATTCTCTCGCTTCCCTGGCCGTCAGTGGTGACAGCACCCTGCTGGAGCAGATAAAAGTATATGTACGTGAAGAGGTCGCACGACAGCTTTCGTGTCTCTCGTATCTGCCGACCACCGAAGCACCAACGAACCGTCTAACGCCGACAATCAGACAGGCTATTCAGGAGCAGGTCTCCGAGGCGTTGCCATTACCTACGCCGGCCTCTCCATCAACACCTGTGACCGCGCCACTGATTTATGCGGCCGTCGCGGCAATGCCTCCGCCTCGTCTGCCATTGTATACGCCACAACCTGTGTGTCCTTCTACCGCGCCGTTTCCAGCTACACAGCAGCACGCTGGAAATCCTTGGCGCACTGCTGACAACCGGCCGATATGCTACTTTTGCGGGATTCCAGGTCACGTTGCGCGTCTATGTCGTCGGCGCTTCCCAGCTAATACACCAAGATACCCTGACTACTCGTTTCGGCCTTCATGCCACGTGC